CCTACGACCAATAACAGCTGAGCAGCGGGTGAAACCGCGTGACAGTTAGCTAGTAAATGATAAAATAAGTGAAGAATTCGAAGTTCTGAGAAATTATATCATTTTATTACTTCCATATTTAATGCACATCATAATAGGCCTAGCGAACGACCTTAAAAACTGCACTTATTGGACAAGGTTTCTTAATCCTAAAACGTTTTGTTAATGCACGTGCACTTACATCGAGCCATTGGTCTACAAAAGTATGATCGATGTTTTAGAATAAATATCAAACCTTCAGTAGAAAGATTTTATGAAAAAGGTAAGTAGGTACTTCATTGTCATCATTTTGAAATAATTATATGTATAGTTTTTTTGAGGGCGAAATGCCATTTCATATTTTCTCCCGTAGGTACTTGGTTGGGGAGAGAGGGAGTGTCAGACTCTTACTGACTAAAAACCACCCCATTCCTTCTCTTGCTCCGGGCCGTGGAAGCGGCACATTATTATGTCAATAGTAACCCCATAATAACATAGTAACCCCGGATAATCAAGTAGGTAAGAAAATACTTCGATCCGCTAAATTAATAATAATATTTCTATAACTCTGATAATAAATCAAAGAGAATTGGAACATATTCTTCTTTGTAATAAATGCATAGTCTCTAATATTTTTTTCTAGGTATATATAAGTTTCCTATTAGGTATGTGGTAAAAGATGTGGAATAAGATAATATTACTAATATAAAGCTAATAACTACGATCAAAAAATTATAAAAAAATAATTAATTATAATAATAATTTATAACTAATTTCATTTGAAATACATATTGTATATTTAAATTTTTTTGAAAAAAATGTTACGCACAAACGTTATCAAATAATAAAAATAAAAAACTTACCCTAAAAACTGCAAAGGAAATTCCAACCGGAGCCAAGCGTTTTATTGATCCCAAAGGAAACTCAAAGAGTTTTCACAAATAGACAGTTGAATAGAATATTACACTGACAACACAAGCTATGTGAATTAAAAAAATAAAATTCTAAATTTGAAAGTCGTGCGATGGCCGTACCCACCGCACCGAGTGTCGCTTCAACACTGAGATAGGTGCAACAATGTACTGTGTGTTTACTGAGCGAACGCCAGTCTACTTGAACTAAACGCAACCTACCTATTTATGACTAAGTAATAATTACAGCTATTTCGATGCATTAAAAACCTTTTTGGAACCATGAACTGGGATCAGCGACCCATTTTGAAAAGGATGGCGCGATTTCTCTGATTGGTCGAGCGTCGCGACCGGTTCTCATCGATTGGTCATCTCGCCGCGGCGGTTTCCCTAACTTTCTTTGACCCCGATTATATCGTGTCGGTACATTTTTTCGTGATTGCATTTTGATAGGATTTTATTGCAATAATTCAAACGTTGCTGTTCCGATTGCTGGTCATGTCGGAATAACGGTTACTGAGACAATAGGACGCACTTATTGCACTTCTTGTTCTTGAAAATGTGCCTATAGTTAAATTAGTTATGTATTTTTACAATACACACCTACTTATTTTAAAATACTATTTTTCTACAAAGTTCTTTAGAAATTGCACCTGCAAGCTTATTAAAATTATAATCTCTCTCAAGGCTGCTACTGTAATTACGATGTCGCCGATGGAGACACATCAGTAGCTCTTTAATGTTATGATTAATTTTACTATTTTTGGACTTGGTACCTACCTCATAAGACATACCTTTACTTATTATAATTATGTATTTTTACGTAGGTAAGTAAAAAGTTCTCCCTGGTATTATAAAAAAAATCGGATTTTGGATATTTTTTTTATTACCTAAATATTTTCCAGCCAACATAATGAGAAAAAACGAAGAATAAAGGTAGGTAGCTATTCGTAACGCTTCATAATTAATTAAATTAAAACTAGCTACCAAGCGCTCTCTAAGATGTGTAAATTGAAAATATCTTGTGGGGGAATGTAGGTCTTAGTTAGTTATCTAGATCTGCCGAAACAGACTAGACAATAGACGCAGTGGCTGGGCAACCGGCTGAGCTGTTTTACGGCTGTGTTTTATGCTAACGGGCCTTTAGCGGATTAGGGATTTAAAGTTTGAGGTATTTGGGGAAGCGGAAGGATTGAGCGTATTTTCTTCTCCTCAAAAACAGTCATTCATGTCCCTGGGACGCACCGTGTGACGCCGTTCGGCTTAGTGTATGTTTTCATTGTTGTATCTACTGTAGATCCTGGCTTACAAGAGTTGCAGCTGCTTTGAAATGTCATGGCGAGTTTACCTTTTTAAAAAAAGCAAATGCATTGAACCTTTAGTTACTCACTCACACTGCGAAACAACGCTAATAAATAACGCAACGTAATATCATAAGCTGTAGTTTTTTCTTTATATATGTGATTTTTCTTTATATAAAAGTTGAAAATGTATGGTCCGTACCTACTATTGCATTTCTCTCTTGATTATTTTGTCCGATCCATAAGTAGTTTAGAAGTTAGGAGGGAACAGATGAACATACATACATACATACAAAGCCTGTCAAAATCATAACCCTCCTTTTGCTTCGCCGTCGCCGTAGTCGGGTAAAAAATAGAACCGACATGGTACACCTAGCTCAATATCCATAGGTAGAGACTATTAAAATTTTTGACGCAGGAAAATCATAAAGTTACTTTTTTTATTGATTATAGGTTCGCGCTTGACCGCTATCTCACCTGATGGAAAGCGACGGTGCGGTCGACGACGATACTTTTCTTGCCCTGGGCTGAGCGAAAGGCAGCGTCAGACTCTTACTGACTAAATACCACTCCGTTCCTTCTCCTGCTCCAGACCGGAGCTCCGTACGTTATTGCGCTTGACCCGTAACCAGATAACAATGCTTAGAAAGATACTTAAGAACTTTGACTGAGGCAGTTCAACAGTAGAAAATATTACCAACTCGCAATCATTTTCATACAGCTATGCGTAATAGCTTACGTAGGTATAAAATATTGCATGTTGCAAGCTACTTGAAGCTGTACCGGTCAAGTGAACCTGTTTTATCAACAGGAAGATTGAGCTTGTTAACCTACTTCGGCAACGTTGCAGTCGCTTTTGCAGAAAATAAAGGTAATATTTAGATAATGTATTTATTTGCCAGCCAAGTCAATCTACTTATAATTTAGGTAGCTAGATACTTCGTAACAACTGTTAAGGTTCTCTTCGTAAAAATTGTAAAAGAAAAAACAAAACACCATCTATACAGTCAGCAAATGATCTTAAAGGCGTTCCAACTGAGGGCCGAAGGTGTAAGCGTACCTAATGACATCATGAGCAAGAAAAAAACTGGTACTCTCCACCCAAAGATCATTTGATGATTTTCCAACCAAAAAAAAAGGTATGGAAGAAGAAAAAGGAAAATGTAGTACCAAGCAAAACATTTAGCTAATTAATTACGTAGGTAAATAGAGTGTGAAATAAGATAACTTTCACGCGTTTTTCGTTTCAGGGATGTCGGTGAGTTGGTGCCGGGTATTGCACGTTATCCAAACTAATATTATAAATGCGAAAGTACCTAACTCTGTCTATCTATCTTTTCTTTACGCTTAAACTACTGAACCGATTTCTGTGAAATTTTGTACAGACATAGTTTGGCACTCGAGAAAGGACATAGGATAGTTTTTATACCAAAAATCTGCAGGAAGTCACTATTCCACGCGAACGGAGTCGCGGCCAAAAGCTAGTATTACAATCATAAGTGCCGTTTGATGGTAGATTCGTCCTCATAATACATGAGAGACGAAAAGTTAGCAATGCGGAATGTATATCACCATTAATGGGGCATTAGCTACCAAAATAAGCGTTCATACTACCACACGAACCAACACTTTGTGGGTGTGATGTGTATTTTGTATGTGAATTTGATGGTTGTAAGCACACCCACGACACAAGAGGAAATCTTAGTTTGGGACAACATTTAAAAAAACTATGGGAATATGATAATTTTCTCCATTAAATCCTATTATGTGGTCTCTATAAGCTAAAGGTAAAAACTTTGACAACAAATCGCTAGACAATACAAAATTACAGACGAAATATCGCAATCGTAACCAAAATACAAATTACGAAAATCCTTCATTCAGTTATTTCATCTGCAATCTGCAGTGTTCAAGTGACAAATTATTTAGCGGATGCGTTGTATTACTTCGTTTACGGGCAGTTATTGCATGCAGTGAGTACAACCTTGTAACACATGTTAAGTATTGTATACGAATGTCTGATGCCTACTGTTTACGCTTCAAGGACTATAATGTGGTGTTTTATCGTGAATAGTCAACTACCTAAACGCAAAGACTGGGGTGAAGGATTATAATAAGTTTAGGGGAAACTCGAATACCAAGCTACCCCGAAACTGAGAGATTTTCAGAAAATTTTAACATTTTAGTTCATTCAATTATGCTAAATACTAGTTTTCGACTCTTTGGCCAGAGTAGGTCGTCTTCGTCTGTGCATCATTATGAATGTGAAGAAACGTAACAATAAGTTACTCGGTTTACACTGAACTGGTTAACTAAACTGAATCCCTCAAGAAAAAAAGGATTATTATTGGCGATTGCAATGAAATGCATGTCCAATCGCATTGGTATGACATGGTAGGACATGTTCTTTTGGGTACTTTACTTGGCTCATAATAATATAGAAAAATAAGTGTTTTAGTAACAACGCATAATTTAGTTAGCAACAACACATAATTTACTCTAGCTTTTGTAGTAAAACTAGTGACCCATTTTTTTATATCTCACCCCCTCCTTTACAGGGTTAAGCATAGACAAATTCAATCATTAATAGTTATATACTTTATGGTGTATTTTATGACTATGATTGAACATTACACATACTGGTAAGGCGTTTTGACCAGAGTATGTTTGGAATCCAATAGCAAATTAAATTACTTTTCTTTAAATTATGGTTTTGATGTAAAAAATAGGCTATTATACAATGTATAAAAAGTAACAAACGTATCGTTGGATTTTATTGACATGTCGTTTCCCTGACAGCTGTCAGTGGCAATAACAAAAATGGCGCAGGTACCACTTTATGGGGTGAAAACACACGCTCAAAAGGTTTGCTCCCTTTATAAAAGAGCTTTACGCAACTTAGAGGCGTATTATGATAGACGGTAAGTTTAACTAATCTGTTCTCTCACCATTTTCTCTTACTTTCCCTTTGTTTTTCCCGTTACGTAATTCCTTCAAAACATAACCGCAATTTTGCATCTTATTTTTCAGATTAAACTTGATTCTTCAGCGTTTTTGGCATAAATATCTCATATAAGAAGATTATTTCAAGTGTCCGAATTTATAAGGTCACTATAGTATTGTCTAAACATCAATTCTAGAAGTGATAGTAATCGTTTTATTATGTGTAGTCTAGTCTCCAAAAAATCGATTTCAACTATCATTCTGATGATTTTTATTCATCAAGAAAGTAGTCTCATCCCTAGAATAACTGACCCATATACTAGTATTTATCTTGTAATTTAAACATAGAATTTGACACAGAATAAGTACTTTGTAGTAATTTTTGTTCTCATTCTCATTATCCCTGTAAATCCATATTTATCAAGTAGGCAATACAGTTTATTTTAAATAATGTATAGGTATATTATTGATTCTTATTGGATTACAATCTCATGTGAAAAAAGCTGAATAGACATAGAAGAACAGGAAATAAATAACATCACAGCATAATATAACTTTAAAGTCCATATAATATTATTCAAGATATGAGATACCACATGAATAATTGTACTCAATGCTCAATACTTTATTGCATTCCCTTTATTGTATTTTATACATTGTGTGGTTAATTACAATATCAAGCAAAAAATACTTTAAATACGTACTGGTGATACAGACTTATATATTTATTGTTTCATCTTCAAAACTCCTTGGTTTTATTAGAATACAGAGTATCTTCTATGTTCTTTTTTTAAATTAAAATATTCAATTCCGACAAAAACAAACAAAATTCAAAACCTGTTCCTGTATATTTCAGCAATGTATACCGTTACCAGGCAGTGTTGCTCCGAGACAGGTTTGACAAGAATGCCAAGGTTACCGACATGAGGAAAGCGGTTGAGCTGCTGAAGGAAGGAGAGGAGGAGTTATTCTTAACTCAACATCCCATTCCAAGAGCTTGTAAGATATATTTTCTTTTTCTTCATAGCAATATAATTTGAAATAGTTGACACAGCAGAATATAGATGACAAGAAATAAGTAAGCAAGCATAAGCAAATGTTTTCTGCTAATATGATAAATACCTAGATTTTGCTAGATGTGGAAGAGGGAAAAAGGAGCACTAGGTGGTGTTCCAATACTGCTGTTGGCAGACAGGGCTTGTGTTTGCCTTTGCATACTTTATGTTATTTAGAAAAAGTATGGAACTTAATTCTATACAACCTATTAAATATCTGTTATTAAAAAAGGACAACATGGAATTCTTCAAAAGAAATACAACATTGAAATTTCTTTTGAAGAATTTCATCATGTTGGTCTCAGTGTATAGAAAATATTTAAAACTTGAATATTGTCTTTAGAATTTGCATCGGAAATACTAGAAAAGTAGTAAATATTATTATTTTGTTTAAGTATATCCATTTTATTATCATAATTTCTAGAAATGTATGGTCTTTCAATACCAGTTGTTTCATAAATTGCAGATTTTTGTAACTATGCTTATGTATGCTACCTACTTCTTATGTGCATCATTAGTTTTAATAGATTTTTTTATGAGACATTACATAAATACTGTGATAGCTTTGAAATAGAAGACTCATTTCAACTTTGTAGACTTTAGACGTACGGCGCGTAGCATTCCGCGCACGCCTCAAGGAGCCAATAGACCACCACAGACGGCCCTATAGGGCTGATGTTTCAGCCAGGGTTGCGGGGTATGCGCAATGAGTCACCGCGACCTCGGCCCAGAGCAGGAGAAGGAACGGGGGGTTTTGAGTCAGTAAAAATCTGACACATGAACCAGAGAAGTCCTTTGAAAAAAAACCATATGTAGCGTAATACATATTGATATAGCTTTACGGGTATTATGTTTTCAGTGACATATAATAACATGAAAACTATTGTATATATTTAATTAACCAAAAGGTCTCTAATGTCTGCTATCGAAGTTTTAAAGTATAAGAATAACAAAACAAATGGAATAAATGGTGTCACTTTTTATTCAATGAAGTTGTAGGCAACACAGTAGGCAGTCTTTTGTTCATGTCCATGACATCACACAGTTATTTTTTTTATTTTCACGTAAACCTATTGCAATGGTACAATGTTATACAGCAGGCACAACAGGTCATGTTACTGTTGTGAAGTTTCGAAGAATTGAAGACCCCACGATAAATGCATCTTTTATAGTACAGTATTTTCCCCTAAGAAGTGCATTCTTTGCCTTGTTGTGTTTATCTCATAACACAATACATTTATTTATCAATATTGTGAGTAGCATTTGCTGTGCTTTGGTAAAGAAGGTTCAGTGTAACCAAACTCGTCTATATCCTTATTTCATTGTGAATTAAGTACTCAAGGATGTTTAAAACCTTTGACGATGACCATTACCCTATTTCTTAAGAAAAAAAAGTTGCCCCATACTAAGAGACCTTTTAGAGACCAAGACTTTTTCCTGTGTCGCGGGTGCGTTTACATGCAATAAATTAAAAAAATAAATATTTAATAAAAAAAACGTTGCCCCATGCTACGATTTTCTCCTGTGTCGCGGGTGCGTTTACAAACAAAATTCCACGTACACATCACACCCAGACCGCGAACAACAATTGGTAGATCACACAAATAGTTGTTGGGTGCGGGAGTCGCACCCGCGACAAATTGCGCGGCATCTAGTTGCCCAGCCACCACGCCAACCGTGCAGTCAATCTTTTTACTTAATATGTACTTTTAAGAACATTTGTTAAGACTGAGACCATTACGAATTCGCCACGAACTCCGCGCTTAAATAACCCGTCCTAAGAGTGCGTTTCTACGCGAGTTAGTGTATTTTCTACCGTATCTCATAATTATGAGTGGTAGCGAGCACTCAAGTGGTTCAGTCACTAATAATTATCCATTTCTTCCCCAGTCCCGACCAGCCAAGGAGGTGTGGCTCACGCGCGTGTGGTAACTCCCCCGGACTGGGTGATCGACTACTGGCACCCATTAGAGAAGGCCCATTTCCCCGAATACTTCAAACGTCGTGAGCAACGCAAAAAGGAGTTCATCGCTATGTGGGAGAAAGAACACGGTCCCGCTGAGAAGAAGGAAGAGAAACATTAAGATATTGTTGTATAGTTATGTAATATAGTGAATTGCGTTTATTTCGAATACTGTTTTATTTAATTAGAAACTTACAAAGATAATATAATCTACAAGGCCTTTTCTCAAACACTCCTATGCAATCTCAAGTCTAATAGAGTAGTCAACTACAATTTCAATTCATTTTGTAAACAAGAGCACGTTATGACGTCATATTTTGTTTACGTCAAATATTTCTTTTTGACCTAAGAAATACGAATATTAAGGTAAGTATATCGCAGTCGGGCTTGCGGGGTAAGCGAAATGAGTTACCGAGGCCTTGGCATAGAGCAGGAGAAGGAACGGGAGGGTTTGTAGTCAGTAAGAGTCTGACAATCCCTCTCGCCTCACCCTGGGCGGGAGAAGTCATTTGATCATTTTCCCTTAACAAAAAAAGCAAGTAGATCACATAATTACTGAATAAAGGTGCGTCTGGATGAGGCAATCAATCAATTGTGTAAGATATAATTTTATTACAGCAGGTCTTCCCTATTGCAATCTCTCCTTAAGAGCAATCTCAGACAGGACCAGAGAGGATAAAGGAAAGGAAATAATTGACAAACAAACATTAACATGTTAAATTATTATATCAACAGTTTATTGCAATCTTGTACTCACTATACATCATCAAGAACGGTTTAGGAATTCCCGAGATTCGCACAACACATACATACAGGTTAACAAAACACTGTACCTATTCAATTCTATTCGTTGGACAGTTCATGTTTAGTATTGTTATTTGGTAAAAATATCATAAATGTAAATATATTTTAAGTGAGGAATTCAATAGGAATCATATTTCTGCTTTATCTTATTAGGAATAAGAGTGGATTTTCTGCGTTCAAGTGTTATTAAAAATGCCATTTATATTTGATACCAAATCTTGAATACAAACAGATTTATATTCAAGCTAAAACACAATTTCGGCCTATTACCTACCTATATATTATAGAACATTTACACAGAAAATTTTACTGAACTACACTGCAAAAGTAGTGTTAACAATAATTTTGTTCGAGTCCAAAAATAATAGTCATGTGTAACAGATGCGCAACTTTAACTTTTTATACTTATATTTCTTTTATTGATTTATATTTTTGCTACTAGGCGTTAATGCCCTGTGAAGACTCGTTAGTCCCAATCAACCACATTACAATGACCACATAAAAGGACACCCAAATAATTAAATAACACCATAATAAAGTTACAACAAACAGGTGCTGTGTAGAGAAGTAGAAAACAATATGTTTTCTATTACAAAAAAAATAAAACTTCATAGTTCATAGAGTAAATAATTTTACACTAATAATTTTTAAGCTGTGATCATTGAGCAAAAAGTTTTGAACACAATTAACAACAGTCCATAAAAAATGAGGTTACTTATAGGCTGTATGCACATAAAACCTTTGTCAAGAATAACTGTTAGGGTCACCATAATCACATCTTAAAAATCGGGATATCGTTCGTGTTTGTAAACATCAAAGTCTCTCACTGTATGTGTTGTTACATCAATTTCCTCCTAGAGTGTGTCCACGACCCCAGTTATGTCCGCCGAAGACTGTGCCGCCAGGTCGTGTAGGCACCCTAGCTTGGGGCGCGGTGCCGAAGCCACCCACGTATCTTGTGTCGGGGAATATTTGTTTCCTGGCGATAAAATAATTATTACATTGTTATCTAACATATAAAAATGAAATGCAGTTCGTTAGTCTCACTAAATCACGAAAACGGCTAATCCAATTTTAGTAATGTTGGTCTTCAAATACTCGTGGAAGTCCAAGGAAGGTTATAAAGTCAGAAAACTAGCTAATTTTGAAGAGGCACGAAGTATGGCGGGTCGGCAAGTATGATTTAGCACAATTTTATTACGTTAGGCAAAAATGCGATAGGTCTTAGATGACGTGGTCCTAATATATACAGAGACGTGGCTCAGCCTATGGTAAACCACGGTATATGAGTCACGAATGACGTATTTGTGCGTAGTTACTAATTATGAGATCAAAATTGTGTAGACATATCAAATAAGTACGAGTCCTGGTATGACATGAAGCTAGCAGATTTTCTTGAATACTTAAATGACACGGGCTAAACCCTACCTACTTAAATAAGTTTTCAAAAAGATTTAAACACCATGAAAATTAAATGGAAAAATATACCAACAAGATTGGAATCTCTTACATTGTATTTTTTTAATTTCTTCGTCTTCTATTATTATTATTAACTAGTGTAGTCACTTATGTGATTATAAAACTTTAGTAACTTACAAGAAAGCCGGCGGCGAAAGGAGAGCCGGGCCACCGAACTCCTGAGGATACTTGAAGAGAAGGAAGAACGCCAAGTGACCGATCAGGATGCCGATCAACTCCATCACACCTCTGGAATACGGATCAACATTAATACTATTTTGGACTTAACCCTATTTAAATATCACCTAAGTCCACATTGTGGAATGGAGTAAATGTATTTAGTCGTAATAATAATGGACTAGCGACTAGCCCCGGTTTCACACGGGTGCAAAGCTGGTACTAAATATCTCCACTATTTAATGGATGTTATTATACATATAAAACTTTCTCTTCAATCACTGTATCTATTAAAAACACATCGAAATACGTTGAGCAGTTTAAAAAAATAAGCATACATAGGGATACTATGAGATAGGGAGATAGGGATACTGGGACAGAGAAAGCGACTTTGTTTTATACTATGTAGTGATAGTACAACTCACCCGCCGCTGATAACCAGGTTGAAAGCTAGCAGTACCCACGGCAGGTACATAGCTTTGAACCTGGTGCCGAACCAGAAGGACACGATCACGTCCTTGTTCAGCTGGCACCATACGTACAGTACTGACAGCACCATCGGGTCCATTAGGATCTAGAACAGAGAAAATTATTTACTTATTTATTATATTCTTTACTATTGCTTGCCACAAACCTTATAAAAATGAATATTGAAAAATATATCCTAAGTGATACATCGGCTTCTCATAAAACCCACGTAAAGCAACCACAGCGTTGTTTCGTCGAGTGTTTGCCCCTTCCCAATCCTTAAATCTCCAAAACCCTAATCCTCAAAAAGACTGCAACACACTCCTAACTCCTCCGGCGTTGCGGACGTCTAAAGGCGGCTTCAATTGCTTACTATCAGGTAAACCAAGTGGTCGTTTATTTCTATTAGAAAAAAAATAATAAAATTGCATCCAACTACAGGAAAATGAGGCCCAATAGTGGCGATGTTCAACCGGGGTACCGGCAAACCTAATAAAAACCCCACAAGCGCAATAATGTATTCTGGCTTGGAGCAGTAAATTATTACTGGCTAAAAAAAAACCAACCCGGAATGGGTCTGACACTCCCTCTCGCACTACCCAGGACTGGAGAAATAATTTGTTGATTTTCCTCGCTCATAAATAAAAGGGAAAGATAAGTAAGAGGATAACGATTATACTACTACTCGTAATGCGAAACCTAATCATTCGCTTGAAAAGAACAATTGTGGACCTGATTATGGAGACTATTACTCACAAAACCTACTTTTCTACCCATGTGATTACAGTCCATAAGCCTCATAAAAGAAAAAAAAGTTAAGTAGGTACCTACGAATGTAGCGTGAACAATTTCACTTTTATTCAAATTATGTCTAAATATTATTGCCGTCACTAAACAATTGTGGTTCATAAGGTTTCCAGTTTAATGACACGTCAAATAAATAAGTAGGTAGACAATTTAATTACATATAGGTCACTAGCGGCATTGTATCTACCTCGTTAGGTTGAAGAATATAATATAAATATATTACAGCCAGTCTCTACTATATTTTTTTTATTACCAATAAATTTTCTTTATTATCTACATTGGCTATGGTAGCTGGTCAGTATTCAGATGGGCAGAATTGTAGTTGCCAGGATATAAATAAAGTATATTGTCGTGCTGGAAACCTTTCAGTTCCATACTTTTAATATGATTCCTGATGATGATTCCTTTTGATGACACGCATATGTGTCTCGCACATATGCGTGGCATGTTGTGTCGCGTGCCGTCAAATATATGAGACCGTGGCGTTCTGGCGCGACACGACATGCCGCGACACACAAGTATGTCTTCAACCTTACACTTTAACAAAAAAGTTGTAACAAAAAAACTCATTACATCTGCTTGTGATTATTCCTTACTAATATTACATGAAGCAATAGTGCCTGAGATTACTCAATGAAATGAATGTAGGTTCTGCTTTGTTGTAGTATATAAAGGCACCAATTGCAGTACAGCATTACAGACTATAAGCTATAAAACATCACATTATAACCAAAAATAATGTTGAGAATATTTTCCTGAGTGAATGCCTATTGTTCTTCTATTGTGTCTTGAATTACCACATTTGAAAGGTAAATAAATAAGATACTTTATAACAGCGGCAATGAAAATACTTACAGGCAAGTTGACGAGTAATCCTATGATCACAGAGCAAGCCCAGTTGAAGAGTAACATATAGAAGTAATCCGCTGGCTTGCCCGCAAACATTCCAGTCTCAAGTCTCTGCGAGTAGTTGTACAGGAAGTAACAATTTATGAGGAAGTGGAATCCTGTACTTGGACTTATCGGGTAGAAGAAGAGCGCTGTGATTGGTCGCCATAACTGTAAATTAAAAATAATGGCAATTATTTTATTGTATGACAACATTTCATAATAATGAAATAGATCATTATAGATATACAACATTTAAGATATGACAATGACGAGAGATTTGAAGGTTTGTTGGTTTGAATTGAATAGGCTCTGAAACTACTTGACCAATTTGAAAAATTCTTTCACTTCTGAGAAGTTACAGTATTCCTTGTGAATATAAGCTATAAACTAAGCAAAGCCTAGGGGCATAGCTAGTTTAAGAAAATGGGTATGAAGGAAGTATAATCACTAAAAGAGTCCTTTTGGGAATATATTGTTATGATTAATAGGATTTAAAAGTTGTTCCTGCACTTTGATATAAATTATCAATTCAGTCAATTTTGTTTATGGCAACTATAATAATTATACACACATTGAACTTTTACACTTTTCTTTGCACAGACTAAATTGAACTAGATATATAACTTAAAAATGTATATATGCTATTAATAATAAATAGTGTGTGTTATTAATTTTGTTATGTCACTTAAAAAGTTGTTTATGACTTTTAAATACAACATTTGTCCATAAATAAATGTTCAAAAAATTCCTCCTGCAACTAACTAAAATGCAGCCAATAACTTTGTTATCAGTGTAGTTGTTATATTTTGTTATCAGTGTCTTCTAGTTATTTTAATGTTTTCTATATAGGTGATGTTAGATAATGAGCCCATTATGGAATTGTGTTAGTGTGTATGGATGAGTAAATAATCCAAGGCAAAGAGTATTTATAAAATACTTATTATTTATTTACATAAGTTGATTATTTGAAAGTTTGCAATACATTACGTATGCAACGTATAAGCTGTGGAATAATCTAGTAACAGAGGGATTCAAGTTATTATTAATTCTAGAAACTTACCTGGAATTTGTTTACAATAGAGTAAAAGTCCAGTACCAAATAGGAAAAGCTTAATAGCCCAAACCGGCCCAATATACTGAACACTATTGTTAAAGTCAACCAATAACGAGTGAAAAACGGTACACTCTCAAACCAATCCTTAAATTCAGACATTTTCGTATGTAAACACAAACAACAGAATCACTAAAGAGAAAGGTTACAAAGAGTTTTTACAACAATTAGAATTAGAACACAGTTCTCGCTGATAGTTTAACCATAAATAGACACAAATGATGAAATTATTGACATCAAATTGTCGGTACACGTGTACTAAGAGAATTTGTCGAGAAAATTCAACCAACAAGAGGATGATTTTGTTGTTTTTGACAGTGGGCGTACTTGTATTGCCAACGGTAATACATCAGCATTACACCGTATAAAGTTTCGTCCTGATTTAATTGTTTCCTATTTAACGAGTGATTATTATTGATTGCTAACATAAGAGCAAATTCAAATTATATGTCTAAAATTGTGCGTTTCTTACTTTCTTGAAAATTATTATTGATAGATAGGCCACCGAAATGATTCTGTCGCATTCAATTTTAATTTAACTGTTTATAATGTTTACAGTCGAAAAACAAATAAAGCACTTTTTCAAAATTATTGTGCAGTATTAAGAGTCGGAATTAGATACCTAATTATGTTAATATTAAAATGACCGAAAGCGTGCAACCCAGAAACGTTAAGGAAAAATTTTGAACGCGCCTTTTGGAAAACTCGAAGTATTTTCTTTCAGGCTTTCTTACATGTGACATTGACATCTATCAAAAGTATCAAATTCGGATATCCGAAATCTATGCACTTGTGTCTTCGTTTTGATTTATTTTGATATAAAATGAGAACTATGTTGAAAACATTAATTGCGGCTACTAACTTGCCTGTGAGGCGGTATGCAGTGCGGTTTTGTTCTAGTGATGCTCAAGCTAAACCTAAAACTGATGAAAAACAAGAGCCAGAAAAAGAATCGGAACCGGCCAAAATAGAAGTTGTAAAAAAAAGTGAGGTTATTGACTTATTTTGATAGTTGCTGAATATTTTTTTAATTTTGTTGTGATAATAGGCCCAGCATAGATACATTTAGATAAATGCTCAATTATAGTTAAAATTTAATTTGAAATAAAAGCTTTCCTCTCAGATTTCTAAGCGATAATTATTTAAGTTAAAAATATTTTATTACCCGCATATTAGTTAATTTTAAAATTACTTACAGATATTGTTATTGAGAAATTTGGATCCGTTATGACACTAAATATAGACCGTCAAAAAACACGGAACAGTCTGGATATAGTGACTCTGAACGAAATGACTGAAGCCATCAACGCATTTGATAATGATCCTGAAGCCAAAGTTTTGGTGTTCAATGGAGAAGGTGGCAGCTTCTGTTCAGGTTTCAACATGGATGATATAGGCACACATGGATATAACAATTTGAAAGACGCAGCGGTACGTAGAAAGATGGAATTACAATAATCTGTTGCGAATGATCTGCCGTGTCAATTGAAAGTAGTAAATAATCATATTCCAAACTATAATCACATTGATCAAAATACGACTACTGAATTTTAGATCTGATAAATCTGGCTTCTGATTTGGTATGCGATTGACAAGTGTTAACTTATAAACTACATTGAAAAGTAGTTTTATAATAAAATCGAACATTGTTACACTTGTAGTTTTTGTCACAGACTGTGTGGTTGGATGGGAGTTTTGTTTAATTACTGCTAGTTATCACAGTAGCCAGCATATCACAATAAATTGTTGGTTTGTGGTTTAACTGACCTGTTTGCTAATATTAACATTCAGCCAAGGAAAACCACAAGTCGTTAAGGTTTATTTTAGCACACATTTTGACTAATGCATGGTAATTGGTTGACTTGAGGATGCTAGTTCAGAAATCTTTTAATTTAGCCTATGATATCATACACAGATAAAACATTTGCAAATGTATCTAGTTTCTTGTTCCCTTAAAAAGTCGGGAAATTGATTTTTCTCAGTTTAAAAACTGATGATAGATGACTGACTGAATATAGATGTTGTCTGTTGATTTTAAGATATTGAATATTGAATGTACAATAAACAGGCAACTGATTAAGAAGTTTAAATCATGACAGATTCATAAAAAGAGGGCCAAGATATGAACTTTGTGGACTGTTATAATTTGATTGACTTTCACATTTTGAACAGTTAGTGGTGAATAATAGTATTCATAGTTAGTTTATCACAGCATTAAGTTGATGAAAATATTCTATGTATGTATTATTAGATTAAGCTTTTGACTGCCGACAGAAAACTGTTGAAGGCAAATCCCCCGCTACCGGTGACCCCCATGGCGATAATTTTTTTTTTTTTTTATGTAATTGGTCGGCAAACGAGCAGACGGATTACCTGATGGTAAGCAATCAGCGCCGCCCGTAGACACTCGCAACGGAGGAGTTACGAGTGCGTTGCCGACCTTTTAGGGATTAGGGATTTGGAGATTTAGGGATTGAGGAGGGATTGGGGAAGGGGAAGGATTGGGCCTCCGGTAACCTCACTCACACGGCGAAACACAACGCAGTGGTTATTTCACGCCGGTTTTCTGTGAGGCCGTGGTATCACTCCGGTCGAGCCGACCCATTCGTGCCGAAGCATGGCTCTCCCACACTTAAATAAATGTGTTAATATATATATAATTAATTAGATTCTGCTGTAAAAAGTAACCCATGTGTTAATCTAGGGTTTCACTTACCTGTACAACAAATAATAAAAAAAATCAACCCTATTGGTCCAGCTATTTATCTGTTAAAAAATAACAAACATCATCCATATGCAAGTACATTCTCCAAAACTATCACATTTATAATATTAGTAGGAAACCATTTTATAAAGTTAACAATATTTTTGTAATTTTTTAAGTTTCTTGCAAAGGATGATTCCTAATAGTAATCTTGCTCTATTGCCTTTCTTGAATGTTTACGGCTGGTTATATTTCATGACTGTTTTCCATAATTTACTTTTGTTGGTTCAATGAGCTTGATTTTATTTTATTCTTTCATTAAATAAAGCGACATTTTTTCATGGGCTTGGTTAGCAATCGAACCTACGAATTACCTGATGCTAAGCAATCGGCGCCGCCCATGGACATCCACATGGGCAACAATAAAGGACTTAGGAGTGCGTTACCGGCCTTTTGGGGATAAGGGTTTCGGATATTTACGGGTTGGGAAGGAATGAGGAAAGGGGAAAAGTTGTGGTTGTTTACGCCGGTTTTCTGTGAGGCCTTGGTATCACCCCAGTCGAGCCGAAGCTTGGCTCTCTCACACTTAAAGACCTTGATCATAGTTATGATTTCATCAATTGATAAATTTTTATTGATTGTATTCTCATTACATATTTTCTCTTTTAGATACGTCTAGAAAGAAGACCTCTCTGTGATAAAATCACCATAGCAGCGGTGTCAGGGTATGCGGTAGCTGAAGGGTTTGAACTAGCTCTGTCATGTGATCTCCGAGTCATTGAGGAAACAGCTGTACTTGGCTGTCTTGGGAGGAGATTCGGTATGTACAAGTTCAGATAATTAGAAATTATAACTCTAGGTATCCTCACTATTTTACCATGTTTTGTTACCAGTGTCTTTCTAATTGATACGAACTCTAATATAATAAATAAATATGTTATATATAACTGAAAATGGATACTCTAATAGGTACTTATACATAACATGTTCATTTTCTCCCTACTACTTCCGTGAATAACTAAAAAAAAGTTAATGTATCAGTCTCCAGTATAGATTCGAATTGAGAAATATGTAGGTACGTACTCTTACTCTCTACGTTTAATCAGCTTTATTTGTTAAATGTAGGTATAATGATGATGTTTTTAGCGCTAAGTAATCCGCTAATAGATTGCGCAATCATTGCACTTTAGATGGGTGACTAAAATTTGTAATGACCTTCACACATGGCTAATGACTAATGAGAACAGCATAACTAATGCTGTCATGACAATGCGGGAATGATCATTCAAGTCTAGATGACTAGTGGAACATAAATCCAAACCAATATTATAAATGTGAAAGTAACTCTGTCTGTTTGTCTTTTCTTCACGCATAAACTATTGAACCGATTTCTGTGAAATTTGGTACAGACATAGTTTGGAACTCGAGAAAGGACATAGGATAGTTTTTATACCAAAAATCAGCAGAAAGTCACTATTTCACGCGAACGGAGTCACGGGTAAAAGTGACGACGTGAAGTATAATATAATTTTGAAAGATATTAATAAAAATAAGAGCAACCACAGCGTTGTGTTTCATCTGTGAGTGAGGCTGCCGGTGGAACGCAAACCCCTAATTGCCAAAAGGTCGGCAATGTACTCGGAACTCCTCCGTTGTTGCGTTATTAATCAGTCTACTCGTTTTCCGACCTATAATACCATAACAAAAAATCCTTCGTAATTACCGGAAAAAAAATAAAAAAATATAAGTATATTTTTATTTCCAGGAGTTCCTCAGTCAATATACGGTGCTCGCAAGCTGACGTCACTGATCGGATTGTCTCCCGCGTTGGATCTACTCATCACAGGCCGACTCATCTCAGGAGTGGACGCCCATCGGTTAGGGCTGGCTTGTAAACTCACTTCCACCGGGACTGGTATGTTATTTCTTTGTTTGTTTAATTGAAAAATGGTCAACATTATATCAGCCGGAAGACATTGACAGGCCTACCCCCTAGCTCCTGAGGTCGTAAAATCATAACTTTTATACATCCGATTAAAAGGAGATCTCTAACAATTATGTGACCAATGCCTATTGTAATTTAAATAAACTTTTTATTTTAGCATACTCTATAAAATAAATATATCATTTTCTCCTGTCTTGTGGATGCCTTTACAAAGTCAAAGTCAAAATCATTTATTTTAATTAAACCATAAATAGGTACTTTTGAAACGTCAAAATAGAATAGTAGTCTGTCAGTCTGTTCGTCAGTGAAGCTAGGTGCTCGTTCCATTCCATTTGCAATTGTGTATTTTACAAATGTACAATTTCACATTGTAAACACCTAGGGAGATATTATAAGGAAGTAGTTAAACCAAGTCTAAGTCGTAAACGAGTATATTTAATATATAGTAATAAATAATAGGAATCTCTCAAAATTTCATGCCAATGCATTTACGTTGGTTTTTACCATGATTACCTACTTATCTCTGGTTTTATATTTATCATTTAATATGCCTTTCAAATTAATTTCCAGCTTTGGGCGAGTCAATAAAACTGGCGAAATCCTTAGTAAAGTTCCCTACGAATGCGATGGTTATGGACAAGATGGCTGCCATTAATTCCCAACTAAATCCCAACTCGGAGGAGAGTATGAGGGACGAGGCTATCATGCAAAGTTTATTAGGAAACGCCATTGAAGATATGAAGGAAGGAGTCAAGAAGTTTCAAGCAGGTTCGTATTGTGGAGCTAAGATTTTTTAAATATAGGTTCTATAGTCTCGACTAGTTTCAAGCCACGACCGGGGCTCATAATAATTACGTACGCGATTGAAACTAGACGAGCGTTTTATATCGGTACATACTAAGTCTATTGACCTGTCCACATATCCTTATGTATGTTTAAATCTTTAAAACTACGCAAATGATCGGTTTTTTAAATAGATAGAGTGATGAAATAGGAATGTTTGTAAAATATGTATAAATAACTCAAGGCCCGGCGAACTCAAGGCGGTACGCCGATAAATTTTTCAGATCTTTTAAACCTTCCATTTATTTACAAGAATATTTCAATACGAAACTTAATCATATCGATCCAGCCGTTTGCGAGTTTTAGCGAGTCTAACGAATACTAATTCATTTTTTTATATATAACGGATAACCTCCATACAATAAAATAGTATGAGCACTGCACACGTGCGAAGCAAGCCCGTAGTAGCTGGGGCAGGTCGCTAGTTACAGCATAACATAACAAATAGCTATTATACAAAAAATACTAATAAAATATTATTAAGTAAAATAATAATACTTTTTTTTCAGGCATAGGCAAACATGGCAAGTTCTACAAGCTAAAAGAACTTCCATTAAAAGACTGGGAACTCGAAGATACAGAAGATGAGGTCACCATCAAATTGAATGAGAGTGATACAGAAAAGGAGAAAGCCAAATGAAGTGTTATCTTATGTGTAGAGAATAAGACTTGTTTTGCTTTGTTTGTAAGGTAATGAAAAGGTTTCATTGCAATAGTTATGTTCAGTTGAGGATTTCTTTAGGTCTAATGTAACTGCAGATCTTGTATAAGCGTTGTCAAAGATTTCGTCCTTCAGTCTTGGGTCTTTTTCGCCATTATGCCTGGTCCAATCTGCCTGTTCAATTCATTCGTTTCCTCGGTCAAAAAGTCATTATTTTTATTTATAAAAATTATGAACGTGTAAAAAAAACACGTTCTTAATAGATTTAAGGATATATGTAATATTCATATTTTTTAATAATTCAAGAGAAATTACTGTTGTATCTGACACAAAAAATATGACGTCACAACGTGCTATTTGCTACAAATAACAAAGGGAAATGACGTTTTTGGCATTTCCGAAAACGTATTGAAATTGACCAGTCGGAAACTAGATATCCTATTTTTGTCATAAGTATTGACTTATAGGCGTGTTCAACCAGGCGAGATGGTGACCAAATATGTATTTGGTCACCATCTCGCCTGGTTGAACACGCCTAGATTGTACCCTTCTGGAAACAGATTCATCATTCAGATCTTCAGAATTGAGATTTTCTCAGCTATACATGCACTGTTTTTTCTAAGTATTTTTGTTTCTGTTTTCCTTTTAATGTACACAAGTGACAAACATAGCATGGCACTTTAAAATTAGATAGATCTACATATCATTTAGTAATTATATTTATTTGATTGTTTTCACCTGACCAAAAAAAGTATTGAGGTTTATAGGGTAGGTAAATTTAGAACACGGAAAAATATTTCTCTCAAACAAAATATTTTAGTTATTTACAAAGGTGTTCGAGTTCACATTTTCATAATTATTGCAATGAACCTTTCAGATTTTTTATTAGTTGATATACTAGTCAGTTTTTGTCAATTCTAATCTACTACTTGTATGTATTCTTTAAAATAACTAAGTTAATGTGTCCATTCGTGATGGCTAGTAAATTATTTTGTAAAATAAAGTATTAAATACTAAAAGATAAAGTTGAAAACTATTCTTTTGTATATAAATAATTGTAGAAATGTTACATAGCTATTTGCAAAAACTTTGATTTATGGCAGCAGTTCTACTAAGGGCTGATTTTTCAATAGTCAGATAGTTATCTGAGGAATAAAATTTTTGCTATCACTGTCTTATACAAACATTCTGATGCGACAGCATCATAATTATTCCCCACAAACTACCACAAAGTTAAAGTTCGACGGGCCCATAATCTGCCGTCACTACTTGACACTGGCAGTATAGTCGACAACATTAAATTGGAGACTCGGTTGCCATCATCGATCACTAATAAAGAACTAGATACACAATCAGTGGCAAAAAATGTCCCAACTGAAAGTCCACCAAACTCAACATCGCGGTGTAGTTTTAGTTTAGTACCACTCGAATGCTCCGACGGTAAACACGCCTCAGTGCTCGTTAAAAAACTGCAAAAACACACACATCTAAGATGCAAAAAAGGATGGAATTTCATATTTTCGTTAAGTAATAATATTATCATTATATAATTGTCATCATTCTATTTTAAATATTGATATTTTATTAAGAAATCAACTTTAAATTTTTTCCAAATGAAATCGTATTCAAAAACCGGGGTTATAATGCACACAGTTTATAAAGACACTTATACTAAACTTAAAATCATTCTCTAGCATGACCACTTAAGTTGTTCGGTTTACGTGGATTGATTCTGTTCCGTTTAGTGGAGACGCTATTGTTTCTAATTTTATTTATTGTTTTTTTTATAAAAAAATAGTTTTTATTTAATATTATACTTCTTTACTGTGTTTATTGAAATATGGAATAGGCAGATGTAATGGATTAAATTTTAACTGCAGTAAAGAAATTTTTTTTTTAGCTTTCATCAAGACCCGTTCGATATGAAAAATTGACAACAATAACGCCAACATTTTCAGTACTTACTTTAGATATATATTCTTTTTATTATTTTACATCTTTTTTATTTGACTTCGAATAGAAAGGATTAAGGAGGACGAAAATAAAAAAAAAGAATTATAACTATATGCATTAGTTTCATTGGTAAATAAATGAACAAACCTATAGAAAAGAATACTATAAGTAATGCGTTTTAATTTGCGTATTTTCTTTTTTTGATAAATTATAAAATACGAAAGAAATATATTTCTTACGAGACATTTCGACTCCAATCATTCTTTGTCCTAGCGGTGAGCCGAAGTCGTTAAATTTTATTGCTTATTTTTGACACTTTGTAAATTCGACTTAAAAACATGCGAATATGGTTCAATTTCTTATGATTTGTGTTTGTCAAGAGCTTCGGTCACAAAAAGTATTAAGATTTTGTACATCACTTTGTAAAAACAACTCTATGAGTTGCATTTAAGGTTTAATTTACATTAATGCATTTTTATTTCAAGTATAAGTACCTAAATACAGTTGGCGACAGTTTTGAAGCGAACTTTTGTATGGGATTGTGTATCTAGTTCTTTATTAGTGATCGATGGTTGCCATTCAAGAAAGAAAAAAAAAATAATTATACCCTAGATAACTTTTATGTAACCATTGAAATATCAGCCCTAAGTCTACCTACCCTAGAAATAATCAGCTCTATGGTTCTCGGTTAGCCGTGTCTAGTCATCTGACGGTTAAAACCGATAAGCTAAAGTATATTTATCTTCAGCATTTAATATGATAATTATCATACTATCATTCTTATTTATCTAATTGTAAATAACATGTCTTAGGGTGCTGGCGTTTTGCAACAACGCGATGGGAATTCTTATAGATTTCTTTCGCCGTGGGGAAGACTAGGGAGTCTGCCGGATTCCTTACCTGGCTAAAACCAGACTGCTGTTCCTCATTTGACTATGACGTGACCTGGGTTGTCCTTTTAAATTCACCGCATGGCTATTCGAAAACCAGAGAAAAGAGCATTATGACGAACAAAACTACTATAATATAAACTAGCTGCTAAAATTATATTCAGTTTTCATTCATAAGACAAAATCAAAATAGTTTTGTTTGAAATGAGGCTTTAGTCCCAAAGAACAATAATTCTAACATGAAAGAGTTTAAATAAAACACTAAAATACAAATATTCGCATTTTATTTTAATATAAACAGTAATTCTAAGCGCCAACATTGCCTTTCTCTGCTGCATACTTGTAGTGAAGGTCTGAGCAATCTTCGTTGGAGATGTTGACCCATCCCTTCTCACTGATGTGATAGACTCGGACGATACCGCCTGAGTAGGCGTCACGGTGAGTCGCGTGGTAAATGGCACGGCGACCCAGCTCTGTAAATTTAAATAAATTAGTTTATCTTAGATAAGTGTTCTAATGTTTTGGGTATCTCTATTTAGCTGTTTGTGTGTTATTTTTTATATAGCAAACAATAAACTGATGTATGTGCCATATAATAGCGGTACACTGTTTCTATGTAATAAAGAGTGATTTTCACTAGGTAAAAGGCTTGAAAAACATTTGGAAAAATCAATTACCAGTTCGAAATCTACCACTTAACAGTTACTGCTTAGAGCTCAACAAACAAAACAATTACAATTCTAACAACAAAAAAATAAATGGCAAATATAATAAGTGTACCTTGTGCATCCTTATCGGAGAGATCCCAGCTGTACCCGCTGTCTAGCACACCAAAGGCATACACTGACCCAGAGCCCACGGAGAACACCTTGCCAGGAGTGCGCGTACCTTCAGAGTCCACATAGTACAGTTGAGCTCCCTGCAACAATGAGATCATGAATTAATATTATTCTATGGCACACTTCATAACTGTTTGAGGTTACTCATTTAGTTTCAAGCAACTCTAAGGACTCGTAGGCATAAGTAGCATTGAATCTCTGATAATGATTTTTTTATTGTATATTGTTCCTTGGTAGTTCTATTGTTAGAGTATATAGCACATTCTTCATTTATAAGCTAAAGTCACTGAATAGATGAGAGTATATAATTAAGCCCTAGTCATACTACAGCAGAATTACAGCATTTATTAGATGAGTAACTTAAAACAAAATCAAAAAAATAATTGACTAAAGTTGGCCTAGTGTCAAAGTGACAACAATACTCTGAAAGTATAGACTAATAAAGTTGTGTGTAATAAAAAATGTTCTCTACTATATAAAGAAAAACTTAGGTCTGACCACTCACCCTCTTATCAACACCAGCCAACATCATTCCCATACTAAGTCCCATACCCTTGTAGTTGTAAACCATGTTGGCCATCAGCTTGCTGGCAGCGGCCACTGAGATACGCTCCCTATTGCGCAGCTCATACAAACGGCACTGCTTTGCCAGCACTCGGTCCCAGTACACACAATCTGCTGCACCACCGGCCAGTGTACCTGGGGTGATAAATAATGAATAATAAAGTTGTTAATTTATAGCAATAATTAAGTTATTAGAGACTGAGTTAACTTAGATTTGAGCCTTTTTGACTGATTTTCATCTAATAATGGCTTGTGTGCCAGTTTTCTTAACTCGAATGTGGCAGCAGTCTTATCATTTTTGGTGTAAACGTAATATTGATTTTGAAGAGAATGAATGTGAGTTCCAATAAGTCAATCTTTATAGAAATAAAATATTTATGTTGTTTGCACATAGATGACTAATGTGCTTAAATATATGTATAGAATATAATTATGAATGTCTAAAACAAACTGTCTTCAGTTTAACAACAGACAAAATCAGTGGTTTTGGGAGATAAAATAGACCACAAACATTATGCCAGGACACAGTAAAACTGTTCCGATCATGCTTATAAATAAGTATTAAAGAGACCTCATTTAATAAAAATTTAAAAAAAAAATTGTAACAATACTCTTTGCATACATAAAGTACTAGGGCACAGTGCATGCTATAGTAAAATGAGTAATAAATAACATACCAAGCAAGTAGTCATTGATTTCTACAATCTTCTTCATGGACTGGGATCCAATGAACTGGCCACCAGTGGCTCTGGAGTCCACAGCCAGCAGAACACCACCCTGTATCATGTTAATAGAATATGATTAATTTGTTTAAATATAAATTGTATCAATGTTTCCTCATAGAAAAGATGTAAATGGAAATCTTTTAAGCCACTAGTGACACACTCCAGCTTGACATCACATAAAAAAAATGTGTATCTTAGCAAATAAGCAAAAAGCTAGATCATAGCACTCACATTAATGACATTGAATATGATAATTTCTTAATTTTTTAATATCCTAGTCTCGATGATAATGGCATAACAAAGAGGAATTATTAGATTTAGTGCAGTCATTTGGGAGTCAGGTGTTACATTAAGAAGATTCATTGTTAAAATTTTACCAAGCCTTGTCTGTTGTTTACTGAGTAAGTAGAAAACTAGAAACATACCAATAGATGGAAACATAACAATAAACAGAGAAAACAATGTTTAGTAATATCATAAGAAACACGTTAAAGTTTAGTTTTAAAATACCTTTTACCTTAATAGGTTTAGTGGTTAAGAACACATAAAATTATTCATGACTTGACACAATATTCCATTAGCAATTCACATTATAACATCAGGCAATGATATCCAGTGTTTTGATATACGTATCGAAGGTAATAAGTGTGCTTTACCTGGTAACGGAAGCCAAGAGTAGTGGTACCATGGTCGAACTGGATTTTGATAGCTTTTCCAGTCTCATCTTTCTGGTTGAATTGCGCAAGTGTTTCTACAGGCTGTAGGAACAAAAACCAAAAGTTATTACCTACATTTTCAGGGGTTCAATTGCATTTTTCGTGTTTTTAACCTTTACTTACGTTTGCAAACGGTGGCGTCGCGAGATGAGTGCTGTGTAAGAAGTTTCCACTGTATCCAACGACATCATTTTCGAATGAAGCTAGTGCGTCTACGGGTTTCAGGTTAATTTTCTGGTCCAACTGGCAAAAATCAAGTAAAGCCATTATTGTTTTGTGATTTCTAATAAACTTTTCTGTGCTGAATGAATGACAAGCGATTTCTTCAAAAACGCCGATTTGTCAAGTTTGACAGTTTGTATTAGTGTTGCTAATCGCAAATTCGCAAACTACCTAAATAAATGTTGTTAACTAAAAAAATATATTGTTATGCAGATTTTTTATACTTTTCTTTTAAATCAAATATGATTTTTTTAGTATTACACAAAATACTTCTAGCAAAAAACTAAAAACCTTCCTTATTCATTTCTTTCATTCAAGGGTGATAAACAACATCTCTGTTTTCGAATTTGGCATTAAGTTCTGATTTAGTAGTGATGCTACTCCCCAGTAGATGTCACTACAAGCTCTAAAAAGTTATTTTAGTCGACATAGTTATAGGCATACGTATATGTGAATTTACAACATATTATACCATGAACATGTTAACCAAATTGTAAACATTCTAATAAAAATCAAGACTATAATTGTCTTGATCATTTATTAACTTGAATCTTTACTAGGTCATTGAACATTAAAACAGAAACTTAAAAACACAAATTAAGAATCGAAATCTATCGTTTAATTCGTTAATGAATAGTTCGGCCGCCAAAAATTATCAGTCAAAACAAAATTCAGAGAAACGTTGAGTGGAATAGAATTATAAAATTCACCGAATATAAACTGTAACTAATAAATAGTGTAGAAGTTAGCAAACCTATCATTACGCTATGAGTCAGAGATTCGATACGATCTGCTTTTCGAAGCTCCTCGCTTTAGTCTGTCATTATATCTAAGATACGATAGCGTTTGTATAATTTATATATTAGTCATTAGTTGTTGGTCATTTTGGAAAGCTATCAAGATGTTATTGTTGTGTCGCGTTCGATGTGTTGAATGTGATCCGGGGCTGAAAGTAGTCTCAATAATGGTATCGATAGTAATCGGTTTTTAAATTGTGAATTTCTTAGATTTCCAAATTAAACTCCTTATAGTAGAAAATTTTGTATTTAGTATCGAGTTCATACATTAGCTATCATAATAATGTATACAACAGAATAACATATACAATACATATCTATATTCAACAGAAAAGCGGGAAATTCTTTTTTTCACATAGGTACAGCGCTGAAAGTTGGAAGCAAAAAAGTTGGCGCTGTTGGCGCGGTAGATACGGTGGCGAAACGGAGTTCGCCAGGTTTGCTAGTAAGAAATGTTAAAGTATCTAATAAGAACAACGAGATAGAGAAAAAGTTTCTTAATAATAATTTGTGAGCGCCATGCTTCGGCATGAATGGGAACGTCTCAAAAGGACAGAATAGGTAGGTACTATCGTGGAACAAGTGTGGGAGAGCCATGCTTCGGCACGAATGGGTCGGCTCAACCGGAGTGACACCACGGCCTCACAGAAAACCGGCGTGTAACAACCACAGCTTTCTGTTTCGCCGTGTGAGTGAGGTTACCGGCCCAATCCTTCCCCTCCTCCAATCCCTCCTCAATCCCTAAATCTCCAAATCCCTAATCCCTAAAAGGTCGGCAACATACTCGTAACTCCTCCGTTGCGGGTGTCCATGGGCGGCGCTGATTGCTTACCATCAGGTAAACCGTATGTTCGTTTGCCGATCTATTACATAAAAAAACAACGCTTGAGTTTGGTGTCACCATGTGACTGTGATCACCGAAGGCTTAATCACTCCCCCTAACTCTAATCCCCAAATTTCCAACCTTCAAATTCACTTAGGTACACAAAAGGCCGGCAACGCACTTGGTGTTGCCAGTTCATAGGCGGCGCCATCAACCATCAAGTGAATCACCTGTTTCTTTGCCAACCCATCCTACTTATAAAAAAGCGGGCCTAATGAAGGCCTGTTGGAAGAGATTTCAGAAGAAATAAGCTGTGCCTTTGTACCTAATTGTTCTTTTCTAACTTACTGTGTACATAAAATATTAATAAATACCTACCTATATGTTTTTGTCGTGTGTTTCAGACGTAGATCTGTGGATCTACAGAGAGACTGTGGGACTGTGAGAATGTCGTGGTGGCTCGGAGGTTAAGGCGCTCGCTTCTCATGCATGAGGGTGTAGGTTCGAAACCTGGCAAGTACCAATGTGACTTTTACCGAGTTATATGTACTTTCTACGATTATTTAGACACCACTGACATACGGTGAAGGAAAACATCGTGAGAAACCTGGACTTATAATTTTTAATTATAAGTTTGAAATCGCCAACCCGCATTGAGCAAACGTGGTGATTATTGCTCAAGCCTTCACCGTGTGAGAAGAGGCCTTTGCTCAGCAGTGCGCACTTATAGGCTGATGATGTTGACAGAGAGACACAATGTATTTTGTATTGTATCTTATAGTATAGCAACAATCAACGGTTTAAACAAAATCCTAACATCTCACATCGGTACAACACCTACATTTATCTTAAAATCCTAACGAGAAATTATGTGTTTCCCAAAATTTCGGCGCCAAGATCATTCACATCAAAAGGTTAGCGTCAAATAAATTTGGAAATCGTGTAGTATAGCGCGGGAGAGTCACGACTCGGGCGGAGACGGGAGACGAACCTAGTGCACAAATGATAGCCTCGAACACGTTCCTAATTTTGAGATTTGGGGGCCGTCTGTTACACCGACCTGTATTTTGTTGTTCGTGTGTTTTAAAACTAGCTACTCTCACAAGGTTTCACCCGCTGCTCGGCTCCATTTGATCGTCTCCGACCAGTAAAAGAATTTTGGCAATCCGACCAGAGCGGTTCCAAAGATTACCTACTCCCTACATGCAAACTTACCTCTTTATAATATTAGTAGGTATAGATAGAGGTTCGAGATTCTACGTATACCTAATGTTTTCTTATTCAAATAACGGCCTGGATCATACGATTAGTGTAGATAGTCCAATTATTTTCTTGCGAGGGTAAAATGATCAAATGGCTTCTTTTGCCCTAGATTAGGCGACAGTGTCTGTTAGTTTTACTGACTTAAAACCCCCCGTTCCTTCTCCTGCGCTAGTCCGGGGCCGGTACTGGTACCTTATTGCACTTGCCCTACAACACCGTATATCAATTAGACCCATCTAGGCACTATTGAAAGTCAAAGAAAGCTTAATTATAAAAAGTCCATCGGTCAGTCCTCTTAGTGAAGCTATTCGACATTACCATACCTAGTCGCGACAGAAATGGACCTGATGGTGTCGTATCGTATTCTAATATGATACTACGAAATAGTAGTTTAAAAATTCCTAATTCACAATGAAGACTTGAAATAGTCAGCATTCGTCTTTCGTCACCAGTACCTAGATACTAAGCGTTATACCATAAACCTGATTTATATTATCGTTCCAAGTTCTTCTATAGTACATCCTTACCTTTAGGTATGCAAGGTCTTTTGTCATGGCACTTCACGACAAAAGATTTTTTGACGAATTCTCTAAAGTAAAACATCGATGTTTCATCGTCATTTAGCATTAATAGCCACGCTCGCTCAAGGCGGATTGGCGATTTTAAACTTTCAAACTTCCAGGCTTCCTCCTCCTCCTTCCTAATGATGTTTTCCTTCACCCTTAGTCAGTGGTGTCTAAATAATCTTAGTACGTACTTTACTTATAACTCGAAAAATCTCACATTGGTATTCGCCAGGTTTCAAGCCTTACCAGGTCGCGGGTTCGAAACTTGTCCCTGTTTTATTACGCTTGTTACGCATCGGTGTCATAGGCGTCTAATTTTAACACTGATTACCGCATTCCCTTGGTGCATGGTTGCAATTCGTCAGCTCTCGTGCCTAAGGCCGGGGCTTCGGTCCAAAGGGGGCAGACCATTCAGTTTCCCATAGGAAACAGGCACGACCCGGACCACTTGTCACGCGACACGCAAAGATTTTCGGTAGTCCACTAGTGTAGATATGATTTTAAGATGGTTGCGGACTTAGTTTTTGTGTTTAGTAGTCCAAAGTAATATTATAAATGCGAAAGTAGCTTTATCTGTCTGTATTTTCTTTACGCCGAAACTACTGAACCGATTTCTGTGAAATTTGGTACAGACTTAGTTTGGAACTCGAGAAAGGACATAGGATAGTTTTTATACCAAAAGTCTGCAGGAAGTTACTATTCCAGCCGAAAGGAATCGCGGGCAAAAGCTAGTAGATAGATAAATATCAGCTAACAAAGTTACTTAATTTTGTTTTATCTGATGGGGTTGGTGCAAACGAGCAGCTGTATCACCTGGTGGTAAGTTATTGATACCGTTGAGTTTCGGAATATTAGGTTATGGATTTGTGGTTTAGAGTTTGCATATACGGGGAAGAGAAGGGTTTGGGCTACCGGCAACCTTTCACATAGCGAAACACCACGCAAGCGTTTCTTCACGTTGTTTTTCTGAGGCCGTGGTATCACTCCCGTCGGGTAGTCCCATTCATACCGAAGCATTGCTATCCCATGTTTAATTCATCAAACCCCAAGCGGACGCCGGCGTTCGTGCACATATTGTTCTTCTATTGTGGCTCTAATTACCACAATTGAAAGTCATATTTTATAAGAACTCCATATTTATTTCATAACAAATGGTCTTATTTCATGAATATCTCAAAATCTTCTAAAAATATGGAGTTCTCAAAGTTTAGTTTAGTGAGATGACCCCGGGGCAGTGGTAATGCCACGAATTTCATCGGCATCTTAATGACATCAGTATCGGAGACCTGACAATAAGATTGTGGCAACTAGGTAGTGTCCGACCCGACAACGATCTCGAAGGAATGTTGAAATTGCGTGGTCATTTTAATATCTTTAATTTCTGATAAATTGGTTTTAAAATGACAAAGCTACTTTTTTAAAAGGAAGATTATACAATTATAAATTTTACAATTTATACACAAAACTTTAACGAGCAAACAGATTAGGTACCTGACGGTAAGCAATCGCGCTGCCCATGTAGGTACACCCGGGATACCAAAAGAGTCACGAATACGTTGCCGGCCTTTTAGGAGGTAAGGTTTCGCAGATTTAGCAATAAAGAAAGATGGGGCTCAAGTAAGGATTGGGCCTCCGGTAAACTTAGTTACACAGTGAAATACAATGCTATGGTT